ATAAATACGAAACATAAACTTGACATAATTTACAAAAAAAAAAAAAATAACAATGTATTATTATTGCCCCCGACAGATACATCCTACGAACAACTATTAAACGGTGCGGATAAATACAATTAAAAAACCTTAACCTCTCGTGATCTTCAAATCAGATAGTATAATACTTAATATATTTAAACCATGAAAACTCAATATATAAATAATGTTGTTGTTTTTTTTTTGTGTGTGTGTTAATGCTTATAGTAATAACGTATACGTAGGCACTAACTCACTGTGGTTTCGATTTCATTTATAGAATATAATTTAAATTCGAAAATTACCTACCTATAATAGAAATATGTACATAGTATTAGCGGGGNGTTTCGATTTCATTTATAGAATATAATTTAAATTCGAAAATTATCTACCTATAATAGAAATATGTACATAGTATTAGCGGGGGAGCAATATTCGTAATGGAATTCGGTTTGGTAGGTATATGTTTTTTATCCAAATACATAATTAAAAGGCTGAAAACTGTGTACAAACATTGGGTATTAATCGTTTTAACTACCTACGAAGTAATATGTTTACAATACGGTCGTGATTCTAGCGAATTTCGTCATAACGTTTAATTTAATCGCTTATGAAAAAATTTACTGTTACGCTATACTTGGGCTTTCGTTTAGGTCCTGCGTGTGTATTGCGGAGAAACTATATTTATTTATGCTGTGATGTGTTTTTTTTTTCTCGTAAAACGATTTTTCGAACCAAAAATGTATTCCAATATCGCTCGTAGTACGGTTTTAACGTTTTAACCGTGGAACCGTTTTCGTCCATTTTACAATAACACTTCGATAGTGTACCGATATTACACTTCCTTATTCACCAACTCAGCCATGTAAAATTTTTTTGAATTTAAAAAACCGAAAATCTGCATACAATTTAATTACGTTTCTTTTCATTTTGATATGCATGATGTTTACAACCTAGACAAATATATGAAATAAAATATAATTATTGAATTTATAACATTATATTGGATTCGTATGGGACATGTCAAATTTTTTTCGACAATCAATCCATTATTATTTACTTATCATTACGTTCGTGATTGAAATAAACTAAACATTTTTCAACCCTGGTATTCTGACAATTAGTAAAAAAATTGTTACAAATCTTTACAACAATTTCAGTATTGGTTTTTCGTTGAATAATATAAAAATACAATTTTAAATTTCTTTTTTTCATTATATCATATCTATATAAAATCATTGCACGAGTACTAAAAAACTAAATAGTTATATAAATACAGATCCAAATAGGGCGATCGCCACTATTGCCCCCCCCCTCTAAAATACAATCCTGCAATCTTACATTGTTGACCAAAATAGTGTAATCGTCGAAAATCGGTATAATGGAATGGCCGAAAAGAGTATCGTCCACTTTATTGGAAATATCCTATTAGATCCCTGACATGTTTTCTATTACGTTAAAACTGACAACAAATTAATGACGATTATATTATAAGTAATTTAAGTTGATTTCTGGGTTATCTTAGATATACAAAACTAATAATACATTAGTACTATGTAATTCGTTCGTTCGAAATCGTTTTTCGTTGCTTTCCGAGTATAAACTAAATCACCCTATACTCTAATACGTTCCCAACTTCCCATCTGTACAACAGTGGCCTACCTATGATTCGAAGTGTGTCCGGTTTTTTTTTTTTTTTACTTATAGTGTACAATGTCCGCTAGACATGTACCGACCAATTTTTCCAAATCAATTTAATTCCCACACAAATCGACAAAAGAAACTTGAACATTTTAACGTGCTATGTTTAATAAGCTATAGCTTGTAGCGACTATATAATATTAGCTTATTATAATCTACGAATAGGGAACCAAAGTTAAAAATATTATTTCGGAAATTATTTACCACTTCTAGTAAATGTAGTGTTCGGTGAAAATTTCAATTTATTTTAATATGTCAATAATAAATCCATTATTAAAATAACTTAATTTTCTACACACTAATTTGCAATCGTACTACACAATATGTATACGAATTTTTTCACTCCACACAATGTTCTTTTATTATTTCGTATAATTTAAATTTATAATATTATTGAAAAATCTACACATTATGGTTTCTTTAATTTAAATGCATTGAAATATTTATAACGTCGCAAAACTTGATTATGAGCAGTCTACTGTGCAAATAAAACGAGTTTTTTTAATAATTTTTAATGTATTTTAAGAACTCTATATAATCAGTATTTACCTACCATAATAATATATTAGTTAAAATTTCTGGTTTTTGAATCGATTAATTTTGTTAGGTTTATATTTCTCTACTTGTTTTAATCTTTTTTTTTTTTTTTTTTTTCATTGACCTGCCCAAATCATTATTTCCGTATAGCTATATGGCAATGGTCTGCTTATTTGAATGAAAATGTTTAAATATTAACCACACATTTAAAGAGCGCTGCTGTTTACACGTTTTTAGGATTATGAATTTCTAATAATATTTTCGTCACTGCCACCATGGCTGCTCCCACGGATCATCTAAGACTGACGTGGTGTTATCTAACAAACTACCATTACGGCATAGGCGTCATATAGAGTAAAATCATAAGTTAGTGAGTTTCTCAACAAGTATTTTAAATTTAGTTGTGGTTTAAACGAAGTGAGGAAGCAGTCGGTGAATCGCCAATAAGCCCTAATGAAATTGTTCATCAGAACTAGGTAAAAATATATCAAATAAATATGGAAATAAAAGTAATTTTTAGAGCATGACGTTAGTATAAAGTACACAAATAAAGAATTTGGACAGAGGTTCGCTGATTACCTGGGTTCAGTCAATTCCAACTTATTCCCTCAGTACATAGAGAAAAGTATTAACCATAGTAGCATCATGACCTTTTCTAACTCATAGTTAGAACAAAAATTTTTCCATGGCACTTTAAAAATGTTTATTACTGATTGGAGCCGTGCTTATCGATTTTCAATTATTTCTATAAAATCTTGATAACGCATTAATATTATGAATTTGATTTACTAATTAGACTTAATAAATATTATATGATATAGTAAAATTATTTTTATAAATTTATGGATTTATCATTTGAATTACCTAATTGAAGTAATAATTTTAGGTTATATTTACCGACTGAAATTAAACCAATTGCCGGGAGAAGGGGTATGACACCCCCTAAATCCGAGCCTGTTTGAACATCACACAAATATAAATAATTGAGGAAAACAAACGATAGATACGTGTTTTATCATACGAAGATGATAAATTATCAAATAATATTTATTAATCATTTAAATTGATTTTTTTTACGATTTTAAGAAAAATCATACCTAACAAATATTGTAGAATATATTTAAATACGTTTAAAGAGGGGCGTCTCCAGGCCTTAACTATAGGGGAGGGGGACGAAATAATTGAATTTAATATTAACGATCGATAAGAAAAAAAGACAGACATACTTCGCACGATAAGTGGACCACTGTTATAGATTAGAAGTTGGGAGGTAGGATATTGAGGACAATTAAATGTATTTCTATACCTAAGCAAATTTAAGCATTGCCAACAAAAAACGATTCTAAACGAAGCTCGGTTAATAGTATTAGTCAGTGGCATTTTCGGGTCAATTCTATGAGGGGGGGGCGAACAATCTTTACTCATTAATACCACCGCTTTGGTCAACAAAAACTTAAAACCTTTATGCCTGATGTCATTTCAACTAAGATTAGCTTAAAAGACTGCAGATATATTGTATAAATGCAGTAAAACGGTACAATTTAAAAGTCAAATTAATTTTTTTCACATTAAATAAATAATAATTAAAACAATGATAGTATGAATTATAAAAATAATAATAATAATTAATAAAAGTTAGATGACCAAGTCCAAAATATTTTAAGCGGCGTTTTGCAAGCGATTCGACCAACAATATTTTCTATATTAATGTTTTCATTTCCATGAATATTTAAATCACTACGTTAGGCGTGTCAATATTGTTACGTGGTTGGGCGCATGGGCAACAATTGTCAACCATCAATTAATTATTGATTAAAAATAGAAATATTCATCATTTATTACTTCTTTTTATTATTAAACGTCAATATTTACATTATTAAATATGTATTACTGTTATAAACTGAATGATTAGAATGGTATAAACAGTTTATGGTACAACTTTTTTTTTACAATACGCAATTTTCACATATGTCTTTTAAATATTCAATGCACATCCACTTCTTGCACTTACAACACTATCTTCTGGTAGTTTTGTCACAGCTCGTTAGGTAGCTCGTCCACAATCATAACATCGACCTCTGGATCCATCTGGTCTTTCTGTCTCTGTAGCTGCTGTATTCTTTTCTTTTAACAAAATTTTAGCACGTCTTCGAAGTTCAATTGGAAGCGTTTCTATTGTAGATCTCAATTGAATTTGTGGTTTTATTAGTTCCCATGATAAGTTTTGTAAAAATTCGATCCTTTTTATTTTTATATTTTCTATTGATAAGCTTTATAAATACATAGTACATTTATGGCAGCTACATTTAAAAGATTATAAAATATATCCATTGACCAACGTTTTGTATTACTAGCTACATTGTAATTTCGACAGTCTACTGTCTACAGTCATTGATCAACTAAATCAACACCAGTTTTAGTCCGATTATAAAATGTAATTATATCTGATTTCTTTTTGTCACCTGTTTCTTCATCTATTTTATCGTCGTGGTGCATAGATGAGATTGGCAAAACAATTTTTTTTTTTTATAGACAATATGAAACCAATGTACAGTCATTTTGAAATCCAAATAATGTGGATGTTTCAACTCGTTGTTTGTTTGGTAATAAAATCTTTTGAAATCTCTCTTTCACTTGACATTTTTGTCATAGTACAAAAAAATAAAAAAACATCATTGTAAATCCAATAGGTACACTCAAAATATAAAATTCAAATTTAATTAATCATTTCCAAATTTTTTTTTTTTTTTTTATAATAATCATACACATTTTTATTGTATACATACCATAGATTTATACATTATAAATCATTATACACAATCATTTATTACTGAAAAATAATTACGGAATTAAACAAGAAAATAAAATTGTATTTGTAGTGATATTTAAGTAACATTAATTTGATTTCTTTTTGTTTAAATAAAATCATAGAGTAGAAAAAAATTGTACTTAATAATTTTGTAAAAATAAATGAGAAATTATTTTTTTTTTCTCCCTCCACCACCACCTTTACTACTTTTAACTTTACTTGCTTCAGGAGGAGGTGAAGTTGCACCTTTTTTAGCAGATTTTTTTTTCACCATTGAAATTAAGGCATCGTTAGTAATATCATCATCTTCTTCTTCATCACTAATAACATCTATATCATCATTATCTAACAAAACATCATCCTGAACAGTTTTCTTAATTTTTTTTGATACATTAAATGTTGGTGCACTTTTATTGTACATTCTTGTAAAAGCACTTTTTACTTTAGAAGGAATGTCGGACATAGGATCTTTATTTCCTGGCCATAAAGACAACTCGTTAAGAGATTCTACATCATCTTTCACAAGATGATAATGATTCATAAAATCTAAAGTTTTCTTCACACCGTCACTACCTTCATTAATAAGAGGCTTAAGAATTGAATCTCGCAAAGTAGTTAAGTAATCGAGATTTATTGCTTCTTTACTTGCAGATAATCTGAATACAACATTAACAAATTTATCTTAGTATAATCATTGATTATAATATATAAAATATGAATATTTGTATAATCAATGGTATCACATATAAACTAATAAATAATTATTGGAACCCGGATTTAAATGTCTTAAAAACAATTGAAAAGATCTAAGTGCCCTAAAAAAAAAATTGATAGCGAAATAACACCCTTAATAAATGACCTTAAAATGTAAAAACAGTAAAATTTAAAAATAAAAGTTTCACTATTGTAATTCTTATTTGTTTGAACTCATTAATAAAGATAAGACAAATCAAAATCATTAATAAAACATTTGATAATCTGTATTAATGACAAATACCTAAACCCAATTAAAACAAATTTCACGTAAAAAAAGTTTTTTGAAATAATATTTTGTGTTATCAAAATTTTAACTATTAATTTGTATTGTACATACATATGCACTTGAAACTAACAAAATAACCAAAAAAATGTTAACAAGTACTCTAAATGAACTTTGCATTGAAATCAGAGTTCTACTAATTTTATACACTAACCTTATTCTACTATGGATTTGTACTTCTTGTAAAAGTCTGTTCATTTTATTCCCTTTGGAAAATTTCCCTAACCACGCAGGAAAATTGATTTGTTTACTTATATGACCACTCAAAAATTCACCTGGACCATAACTTGAAAATATAGCCTAAAAAAACAAAAAAAGACCATTTTTATCATAGCTTTAAATTTATGTATTAAGTTACAATTATTTTTTAACAAGTAAATATATTATTTAATATATATTTAGTATAATAGATAATAAATAATTACTCTATTATACCTTTTTAAAATTACTTTCAGTATATTTATTATTTTCAGTTGTTATAAGGTAAATAAAATGTAAATACTTGTGCTGGAAGTAAGCTCCAATTATTAGTAGATCTAATTTTTGAACTAACTATATCTCCTATACTTATACTGTCAGCCGCTAATGAATATCGTTCTAATTTTTTCCATTCAGGACCTANACTTTTCGCAATACATCCCATGGTCCCATTTTAATATATTTTTTGTTTATATTTAAATTATCTTTTCCTTCTTAATAGATTATGAATCTATTTTGATTCTAAAAATATATTATTTTATTATATTTTTGCGAATTGATTATTCCCACTTAGTTTTTAATAATTCTATTTCACCCTTAAGAGAATATTTATTGAAATTTCTAAATGAGAAGCGTTTGTGTTTTATTCTTGTTCCAATCAAAGTATTTCCAAGATCCGGAATCATTTTTATAACATTTGTACTTAAGAATTATGAATATTTTGTGTAACAAAAAAGAACATCACGCGGCTTATGGGGGAGGGGGGTCCTCTTCCCCCCCGGGGACACGCCTGCATTTAAAATACAAATATAACAAAATATACACTTACATGGAAGAAAAAAAGAGCTAAATATACAGCATACAAGAAAAAAAACAAATTGCACTAAACTTCTAATATTATGAAACAAGTGTCTGTAGTACTTTGCTATAAATCATAATTATTGAAAAACATGTCAACTCCTATACCTAAGTCCCTTGTCCTAGTTATTGGGCATTATATTTATAAAACAAAATGAGATGAGGGGAGACAAATTTTTCCCGGAAATCTATTTATCTGCGTACAAAAACTAATTATATTTTTTTATTAATAATATTTATGAAATATATGTTGATGTCCATATAGATAAAATATAGTACTTAATACCTATAAATCATTTTTTTTTAGATTGAAAAAAAAATAGTTAGTAGGTCACCCATTTTTAGATAAAAAATAACAATATTGTACCTTTCGATAATATTTTAATAATTTCTGCACTTTATTGATTGCCCCATCCATCATTTTTTCCGTTTCTTCTCTCAACATGTTCATATCATCTCAATTATTTATTTCAATCTATCTCAATTCATTTATGTGAATCATCTATTCTCCTCCATTTTCTTCATGCTATACCGGCTACTCCTAGGCAAAGTGCCTAATAATAATACCTAACCTTATTTTCAATATTATTTCATCTCTTTTAAACGTATTTTTCAATAATGTCCGCACGTAGACCTATACACCATCGTTGCAGACCTCATAACCGTTTTATTAAAAAAATGTCAATTGATTTTTTTCATCATCCGTATAATAATTTAAAATAGGCAGGTAGGTAATTATAAAAAATTAATTAACGGAAAAAATTATAATATTAATATCAATACGACCTAGTTTGTACCTACATATTATCTATTTTATACAATGAAACACGAGATTTTTAATTTCCAGTTAATTCCTAGTTGCGAAACAAACAAAAAGATTACAAGCTAACTGCCTAACTCCTACTAGAATATAGCCTTTTTACCTGAATTTAAAAAACAGTGTAATCTCCTACGCAGACCTTTTTATCTTTTTAAGTTTACACGTTTATTAGTTGTTACATTATACTAGTAGATTCAATATGTTTTTTAATATTTCATACTTAATATACATATTATACAATATAATAATAATATATATTATAATATATTATTTTTATTTGACTATTAGATATTATGTATAACTGTGTCATTTAACTAATAAGACTGGTATTAATTTAAAAAAAAAATATACCTACTAATTATGTTATTTTTTTTTAAAACTTTTATTAGGTATACTTATATCCTATATAGGAATTAATACTATCTGGTGTAAGAGTTTACACTATCTTTTAAAGGAGTTTACACTGTGCTCGTGTAGGAGATTACCTCATTTTGTAACTTCTACTTAAGACAAATAAAAAGTGACGCAAGGATAAAACCTACAGTGATCCCAGAGAAAAGGCGATCAATCGGGTACAATGGAGAATAGG